CCGGGGTCTGTGCTCCCAGCCACTACGCTGCACTGCCTCTCTGACGGGGCGAGTGCTGGTAGCACTGGCTCCTGTCGGTTCTTACAAACTAAGCCAAAGCTACAAGTCGCCCTGGCCGGTGTAACTCAGTGGCTACAGCGCCGGCCTGCAGACCGAAGGGTCCTGGGTTCGAGTCCAGTCCAGGGCACATGTCCAGGATGCGGACTCGATCCCCAGTAGGGGGCGTGCAGGAGGCAGCCGATCCATGATTCTCTCTCACCATTGATGTCTCTCCCTCCCTCTCTGAAATCAATAAAAATATATATTTTTTAAAAAGGCGTCAATTCACACCTTTGGCAAAGCCCTGGTGCAGAACGGCCGCCAGGTCCCTTTGCTGATCGCATCGTGCGCCTGGCCCCGGGCCTGGGGCTTTGGGCTCATCCTCTGGCTCCAGGAAGTGCTGAGGGGCTCAGAGAGGGTAAGGAGCTCACCCCCAGTCACACAGCAGGGGCGCGGGAAAGACGGAACCCAGGCTGGCAGGTGCTGGCGCCCACAGGGATCCCCTCCAACCCTGTGCCGTCCAGCTGCCTCCTGCCCCCGCCCCACACCGGGGATCGAGCCTGCAACCCGGGCATGTGCCCTGACCGGGACTCGACCCCTGACCTCCTGGTTCCTAGGTGGACGCTCAACACTGAGCCATGCTGGCCGGGCTCCATTGATTTTTAGAGAGAGTAGAAGGGAGGGAGGGGGGGGAGAGAGAAACATCGATGTGAGAGAGACACATCGACTGGTTGCCTCCCACACTGACCAGGGCCGGGGATCGAGTCTATAACCGAGGCCTGGGCCCTCGACCGGAATCGACCTGGGACCCTGCTGTCTCAGGGCCAACGCTCTGTCCCCTGAGCCACACCGGCCAGGGCTGAGGTTTCCTCTTTACCAACGAACCGCCCTAGCGCTCCGTCATTTCGTCGTCTGTGGACGCTGGACTATGGCAACTGGCTCCCTCCCTCCCTCTCGGTCCCCCCCCCCCCCGCCTTTTCAGGGCAGGGATTTTTTTTTGCTCCAGGCAGAGAAGCTGAAAAGGCAGAGCCCGCGGCTCCTGGGAACGGCCCGCCCCCTGCCAGCTGCTCGTGGCCGGCCTTTTCCTGCTCCCCCAGCCCAGGTGAGGTCCGCTGACATCCTATTGAACCGCCAGCTCTCGCCGCATTTTCCCTCCTAGACCGGCGGCACCTCTCCTGTCGGTGACAGCCCCTCCGGCACATCCTCCATAAAGACGCCCCGGGCTCCCCTGAATGGCCGCGCCGCGGGCATTCCGGATCATTCTCCCGCCTGAATCGGGGCCACGTGCACCCTGAACAGCCTGGCCTCCGAGTCAGCTTACAACCCCGGCCTCCACGGCCACGCGCCTCCCGCGGGGACATCGGGTCCTAATTGCTCCCTCCAGGGCTGCTGGGAGCCAGGAAATAAGACGGAGGAGCGGCCCACCCAGGCGCCCCCCACGCCCGGCCCTCGAGGGCCCGTGGCTCTGTTAGGAGGAACCCCCCACCCCCCGGGGCTGGGAATCCGGCCTCCCCACGGCTCACCGACTCTGAACGACCTGGTCTGTGCAGAAGCCTTGACCCATTCCCACGTCCGAGCTGAGTTCCTTTGGATACATTTCCAGGCCTTGAGTGACGAGGTCACGCAGGACAAGGGAACGCTCACCTCCCTGCGGCCACGGCCCGCCCGCCCTGCTCCCCGCCGCCTAGGGATCCGCCGGTAGGTGCTGTGCACCGGCCCGTTTCACTACGTTAGGGCAGTTATAGCGCGAGGATTCGCGGTCGGGAGGTTGGGGCGGCACCGAGGGCAGGGGCTGGCCGCTCCTGGAGCCGGAGGGCTCGGCCCAAGGAGGCCAAAGAGCTGCGTTGAGTCTAGGACTCAGGACTCGGCCCATCTGGAGGCCCTGACCCTGAGCTCGGGCGCCCGACGGCTCGGTTGTCAACCACAACACCCCCAACAACATGGCCTCATCCCCGGGCCTCGGCCACGGGGCTCTGAGCATCTCAGAGAGGAACATCCCCGGAGAACCAGGCCGCGTGGCCTCTAAGGACCTGGCCTGTGTCACCCGCTGTCACGTCCCCCTGTGCACAGGCCGGGCAGTCACCGTCAGCCGGGCCCACGGGGCGGGGAGCCCACGGGGCGGGGAGCATGGAGCCCACACCTTCCCACGGAGGAGCCAGTCATACGCATACATCGACTCCAGAGAGGCAGGGAGAGGGAGGGAGGGATAGAGACACCTCAACGCCGAGACCGTCCCGATGACCCATGGGAGCCCCTGGATCCAGCCGCGCCTGAAGCTGTCCTCCCGGGAGGGAGTGTGGGAGCCGCCCATCATTCCCCGAAGCCCGTTCTGGGCTGGGTTCTGTCCATGGCGAGCCCCTCCTCTGCCCCATCGCAGCCATTTTTTTGATCTTGGTCTCCGATGCAGCAGCAGCCAATAAAGAACGGCCTCCGCACAAATACATTCAGGAGGAAGACACGAATCCTCCCCCAGGAGGCCCCGGCCCAGGAGGGAGACACGGAGGCTCCGCGTTTGTGGCAGTTTCCGAAGAGCTTTCACAGGCGCCCCGACACCCCCCTCCCGTCCATCCTCCCACGGGAGCCTACCAGGTAGGACGGGGCCAGACCGTGTTTCTAAGCAACGGATTATACACGTGGGGGAGGGAGGCAGGGGGCGGGGCTACAGGGAGGAAACTGGC